TGCGCCACATGTCAATCTGACGAACATTCAACCTGGTATTGTTTCTGGTTCTTGTTTGCTGTGTAGTTGCGGTAGATGTCGACGGTGCTGTCGTTGGTGCCTGCGAAACACCTGCACTGCTTTGCTGATCTTCTTGCACTTGCCTGGTGTGACCTGTTCTCATGTCACGCTGCTTCATTCTGCATTCAGCTTCGTAGTGTCCAGGCTTTTGACAATAATTGCAGAGACCTTTCCTGCGAATTCCTTTCTGGTTGCACTTTCCACCACCTTTGCTAAAGCCACGGCCATAGCCACGACCTTTTCCTCTTCCTTTGAAGCCACGTCCCCTGCCTTTGTATCCTCTTCCTTTTCCATAACCGGATTCCCAGTTTGACTTTCCTTATCCTTTGCTTTTCCTTTGAAACTCTTTTTCCTTTTCCTTTGATCTGATTGATATCCATGTCTGCTTGTCCACCATGATCTTGACCGCTTTCAATCAAGTCGGTTGTTGTTTGTCTTTTCTCCTTTGTTGTCAACTTTGTCCAACGCTTGTTCTTTTCCACATTGAGCATGTAGTCCCTGATATCTTCGTAGGACTTCTTGTCATCATAGTTCAAGAGAATGTGTTCTTGCACATCTGATGGAGCATTTGCAATAATGACTGCAAGCTTTGTCTCACTTCCAACAGTAACGCTAGAAATCTTCTCGTAATCTTCGATCAACTTCTCAAACGCGAGGACATTTTCGTTCAAACTCCTTCCTGAGTCTGACTTGAAGTTGATAATGTTCTGGAGAAGATGAAAGTTGCGTACCTGAGATTTTGGCATATTCTCGTGGACCAACAATCTGTATGCTTCGAAACCTTTTTGTCCTGGGACCTTGGAAATTGTCCTGAGAGGACGTCCCTTGGTGTATGATGTAAACACTGCACACAACTTCTTCCCCAAAGCTTCTGTCCTGGGAGTCATCTCCGCTGTGATCAGCGGAGTTCCAGTATCTTTCGCAATGCTTCCAATATGTTCTCCAAACTGAGGTTCGATTGCTGAAAGCCATGTTTTGAACTTTCTGCGAAAATCTGGAAATGTCTTTCTTTCATCCCATGTACTTGGGGCAAACACTTCAGGAGCTTTCACCAACTTGTGAAGTTCAGCCGCACCAGCACGATTTGAATATGATTCCAGAGCTGTCTCAACGCCTGAGAGGGTCTTTGTCTGGGTGTCACGCGTAATACGACCAAAGTCTGTAATTGCCTGTGAAAGTGCTGAAGATTGCTGACTGCTTGCAGAACTTGAATCTGTAACTTGCTGCATGAATGCTTGCACTGCGCCATATTTCGACCTTGTAGTTCACCAAGCTGCTGCAACGCTCTCTATTGCAGATGCCGCCTTTAAGTTGGAGTACACCAAGATGCAAAAAAGCATTGACTTCATCATCTTCCTGGAACTGCATGATGTTCTTTTGATTCTTTTCTTTCCGGTTCTTGAGCAATTCCTGGGATAACACGCCACTTCTTTTATCTTTTGGGTTGCTGCCAAAACGACGATCCAAGTGATCATGCCGTAGGAGGTCAGGGCGAAAATACACAAGCTTGCACTGAAACTGTTTTCTTGAACTGTCATGACAGGTCCGTAGCCTCGAATCCTGTGATGTAAATCATATTCCGCGGGCCCAACGCTCAATCCTGCGATCACCTCGTGCAGCGCAGACAAGTTTTCCTGCACATACGTAACAATCTTCTCAACACTGGCAAAGATCATCAGAAGCAGAACCATATTGCGCAGATATACCTTTCTCGCATTGGGCTTCCTGAAAACATGTGTAGACATCAAGTCTGTAACATCTGATTCATCTCCAGAGGGTGAAGCATCTCCAGAGGATTCCTGACTCATCCTTACAGGGTTACCATCTGTAAGGGCTTGATGAACTTGTTCCTGGGATAATACAAACAAGTCAGGCGCAGTCAACCGCTCAATCATGTAGGCTTTCCAGAGAAGTGCTGCCAACATGGGACAACTAAGCCACTGCAGCCCACAACTTGATCCAGGGAAACTTCTCTGGCTTGTTCACAAACATCCTGCGATGCGTCTTCTTCCTTCTCTCACGCGCTAACAGATTCTCTGGGCAACAAACTGCACACGGACCCACTTGCCTGGTACTGCCTGCACGCATCAAGCCACGGCAGTGCTGATACGCATGGAACTTTCTTCCTGACATGGGTGCCACATAGAGTGGAGAAGCTGGCACCTCTTCCATGATAACTTCATCGCAAAACTCTTCTCTCACAAGTTCCTTCACAAACTTTCTTGCGATTCTCAACATCCAGAAAACAAGCGCCAGGATCTCGACCATGAACACCAAAACCACTGTCTCACTGTCGAATTTTCTGTTGCACCATTCCTGGGAGCTGCGCAACCAATCTGCTTCCAGAGCTTGACCCAAATTCCTGGTCATTGAGCTCCGCTGCCATGTTGAAAAACATGGCTACACTCACACTTTTCCTCTGAGCGTTCAGGGGTCTTGAGCCTCCATGGGCAACATGCAAACTTGTCTTTTCCTGTTAAGGAAACTTCTGCAACTGACACTCCGAAACATGCGTGCTCACTATACTCCTGGGAGACATGAATGTTCAATAAGAATCTAGAATCTAGAAGTGGGCTTCGACTTGTATGTAACAACACCCAACGAGAATGACATCGACAATTATGTGACATAGACAAGAAAACCTGGCAGTTCCGAGTAATCATGAAAGTAAGAACCATAGCGTCCACCACAATGAACTTCTCAACAATAAACTTGCTAACTTAGAGCAAAGTGTGAAGATTTTCAGACCATTTTCCCCGCAAAGCCTCGCTGATACATAAATTCCGATGGCTCTTTTGGAACACGAACGGAATTATGGTTTGGACTTGATGCTTTAGTCACCTTTTCACATTGTCCTTCACTTCCCATTTCTTAGCTTGCTCGTCATCCTAACCTCCAGTGCAACTGGATGTCTAACCGCCAACCCCTTTGTATCGACAATCGACATTGGAAACAAGCTATTTCTTCCAGGTGTTGGTTCTTGAACTCCGCGTCGGTCCAGTCCATCTTGTGAACGCCACTCTCAGCCGTTGCTTGAACTTGTACGGCAACAGTTAACAAAACACCGAATCAACTTGTAAAAATGATTTTGCAGTACTACGAATTGTGATGATTCCAACCAATCTTACGCCAATCCCTTACCCAGAATCACATGTTTTCTGATGAAGTTTGTGTCAAAGTTGTTTCTGTTGTGCTCACATGACTTTCTGGACTTTGCTCGAAGACGACGCACAATTCACAAAAGTGATGGCTCTTATTGTGATACTCAATTCTACTTGGCACATCAAGACTTCTTGCCCAGCTGGGCGAAGCCGCTGCCATGATCATTGAACGATTCCTTTTGACGGTTTTTTGTCCGCGCGGGCGCTTCTCTTAACTCCAGAGTTGCCAGAAAAGACATACAGAGATGGAAAAGAGCACAAGACATTAATTACAGTCTTAAATGAATAAGACCGCAAACGAAACATCACTCTTATGACTTTTGTGCCTGTTATTCAGAGTTTGGCAATGGTATAGGTTTATAAACCTACAACTATCAGAGTAAATATCGATACATTGTTCAGATCTAGAGACAAAAGCGACAAACCGCAAACCAACGGTGCCCATTAAGTTCGACTGCCCTTATTGCTGGTGTTGTTGGTCTGCAAGTCTGTCTAGTCGTGTGGGCGCTACTGCTACTTTTAATTCCGGAGTCAGTCGCCAGGTGACACCAAGTGTGAAAAGAGCAACAAGACACTAATTAAGCCAAGAGCACGTAAAATGCCAATTGTAGAAAAACAACTGCGCTTTCGTGATAAACCAACTCAAGGTATCTTGGTAATCATCTTATGTGAATGTTCGTGTTCTAAAAGAGTACATGTTGCGCGCGCAGACATCGTTTGGATTCCACACAAGCCATGCGCTAGATTCAAACTGGATTCAAACCTGGGTGGGTTCCAACCTTCTCTCTTCCTTATCGGTTTTGGATATATCACCAAGGGATGCTAAGCCGTTTGTATTATCAGAGAATGCAGATGCCCAAATTGTGTTTCCATGCCCAAGCCATACCGTTTGTGTCCACAAGAAAACGGAGACAAGAACATCAAGTCCAAACCATAATTCCGTTCGGTTCGACTCGACCAGCCGTGTCCAAACCATATTTCCAAAACAGAATACACGTTTATTTGTTCGAGCGCTACTCTAAACAGTTGTAATAAATAATTTTATAGGCGGCTGAGTTTAGTGTCAACCACCAAGTGTCCCTGCAGTGCCCAACCCAAATCTCTGCAGCGCCCAACTAATAAATATCCCTGCAACGCTTAACGGATTGCCCAACTGCAAAGTCTCTGCACCAAGTCTTCCAGCAGTGCCCAAGAGAGTTAAAGAGGGCTAGAGAGGGGCTTAAGGGGGTTGCGCATGTTCCACAAAAAGTGCTCGGGGTAGTGCAGTTGTGGTAGCAGTGGTGTAATAAAAGTGCGGATGGAAGCAACATTGGTTGTTTGACCGCGTATGTGCTTGATCTAAAAGAAGGAGGGATCAAGGGGGGATACAAACTACGCATGTGTACCAAGCAGCTCTCTGCTGTGCACTACACTTTTGATTTTGCTCCAGTCAAACAGCTTAGAGATGTGAACGCGAGCCAGAAGCAAGACCATGGTTCAGGTGTGGCAACTGCAAATACGTGGTGGGTTTTCTTGGAACCACCCTCTTCAGCTGGAGTTCAGGTATATATAGAAAGGGTGGGTTCTTGGGGGTTTTTGCCCCCCTCCCCGCCGACGCTGTCCAGCGCTCTGCAAAGCCCCATTGGCAGAGTTCCCGCCCGCCCCCCGCCCGCCCGCCGCCCTGCCCGCCGGAGCCTACGCGCAGCAAAAAACAGCAACCTGGGGCTAGCCCCCACGATGCCCCAGCAAGAAAACGCACGCGCTGCTGCGAGTTCATGTAGGAACTTTTGTTAAAGCACTATGGGCAAGATCAAGGTCTTTCCGACCCCCGAGTACAGCAGCAAGCAACCCCACGACCCAGTGGTACCCCGTCTGCCGTGCACTGGGATCCTTCTAGGTCCCTCGAAATCGGGCAAGACTGTTGCCTTGATTTCCATGATTCTGGATCAGTACAGAGGCTGCTTCGAGCGAATCTACATTTTCAGCCCTAGCATCAACGTGGATGACGGCTGGCGACCCGTCAAGAGGTACATCGAAGAGGAGATGAGGGTCAACACCGACAGGGAGCAAGTGTACTTCGAAAACTGGGACGAAGCAGGTCTCCGCCACATCATAGACCAGCAGCGCAAGGTCACGCAGGTCTCCAAAGAGATGAGGATGAAGCGGCTTTACCAGATTCTGATTTTGATTGATGACTTTGCGGATAGCCCGCACCTCCACAAGCGGACAGGCGACGCAGCGCTGGATACGCTGTTCGTGCGCGGCCGCCACTTTCAGATCAGCACCTGGGTCAGCACCCAAAAGCTGCGCCTCGTAAGCAACGCCGTGCGCGTCAACGCACAGTTCTTCTGCGTCTGGCGCCTCCGCAACCAGCTGGACCTCGACAGCCTGCTGGAGGAGCTCACGGCGCTGTTGCCGAAGAGGGAGCTCGAGGCCATCTACGAGGAGGCGGTCCGCGAGCCCTACAGCTTCCTCTACATTTATCTGCTGAATGCGCGGGATCAGATGTTCCACGTCCGCTTCGAGCGGCTGTTCCAGGTAGGAAACGCTGCCTCTCAAGAAGATGGGCCAGGCGCTGGGGGTGGTCTTCGGGAAGCTCCTGGGCAGTAGCACCTTCTGCCAGAGCGAGTGCAAGAACATCAGCTGCTGCAGCAACGACGGGCGAGTCTACGACCCCTCAAGACCGCCCTGGATGCAGCCGCCGCCGGTGGACGTTCTGGATCTGCGCGGCTGGCCGCCGGTCATGCCCCGCAAGATCACCGACGGGAGCGACGACGCCGACCTGCCTAGACCGCGCGAGAGGCTGTTCGCACATAAGAAACTCAAGCTGATGACCTCGATCTGGGTGGACAGCCGCCTGCGCGTGGGAGGCACCGACGCGGACTTCGAGTTCGACATCGGGCAGACGGTGCACCTGCAGGGCTCCGCGCAGCTCAGCGTCTTCAAGATCAGGGTGGCCGACACCTTCCTGAGCACGGACCGCGGCACCTACATGTACTGGAGGGACACGGCGCTGGGCACCCTTAACTGGGCGCAGCTGCCAGTGGGAGCTTACACGGGTGTCCGCCTGGCGGCCTGGGTCAGCAGCAATTTTGCCTCCGCCACCTACGTGGAGGCCACCAACGAGATCACCGTGGCCTACGACGGGAACAGGGTCATCCTGAACGACCAGGAGCTGCGCGCGGAGTTCCCGAACGCGGTTGACTACCCCAGGGAGCCACGCCCGACTCGCCGCAGAGCATCAACCACCTGGGAGGCAGCCAGATCTTCACCTTCGTGCAGACGCAGCCCTACTCGGAGCACCGTGGGGCCGCTGGGGCCACGACATCATCGCCAAGATCATCTGCA